TAAGTCTTGCGAATTGAAAATTGAATTAAACATCGTTTACTCACTTCTACCTCATTTCCTTTGCGCAACCAAGATAACTTATAGGGGTGAGGATGATCAGTGGTCTTGAGATTCAACATTTCCACCATTGTAGTAGACACTACATTTTCACAGCTTCCACCATCAATTATTACGTTACACACTTTTCCAGGGAAGTGCACCTTGTATGGAAAATATAATTGCGAAGCCATTTATCTTCTTCCATGTGGATAGTATTTAAGCTTCGACGAATGACTAAGCTTTCTCCTTCATCGCCATAAGTTACTTCTTCATCAAAATTAGGCCCACCATCATCTAGAGCGTCTTCTTGCACAAAAAAATCGTTTGACTCTTCTACTAGGGTCACAATCTTTCTATTTGGGCAATCGGAAGCAATATGGCCTAGGCCTTGACATTTGAAACAACGAGTATTAGAGAGTCTATTAGGACCAGAAGATCCCTCTTGCTTTGTGGGTTTTGAAGTTGTGGTCTTGCTAGTTTAACCTGAATTAAGTGAAGAAACAACTCCTCGAGGTTTGTTTCCCTCACGTGCCCATGACCTCGAGCTACTACCACGTTTTCCTTTAATTTGCTTTTCCACCTTCAGTGCCAGCTTCACTACATCAGTGTAAGTCCATTATGGTTGCAATTGGACAATATCACTAATCTACTGGTGTAATCCTGCGAGATAATGAGAAATTGTTTGTTCTTCTGGCTCGATGAGATCACATAGAATTCGAACATTATCGAATTCCGTTGTAAACTCTTCCACTGACAACTCATTTTGTCTCATGTTGTGATACTTGAGAAAGGTATCTTGCCGACAATTATCTGGCATAATTTTTTTTTTTTGAGTTCTTTTCTCATTTTTTCCCATGTGACAATCCGTCTCTTGCCGTCTCGGGCACGTTGCCTTTGCAGGTGCTCCCACCAAATGGATGCATGTTTTTTTAGCTTGAGAGCTACTATCTTTACCTTGCGATCTTCCTCAATGTCTTTGTAGTCGAATATTCTCTCAACTGTATTGATCCAATCACTGAATCCTTCTGGCTACATCTTTCCTTCGAATTTAGGAATTTCGATTCTGAAATCAAATTTCTTTTGCGAAGCAAAGTTTCTTCTTCGCCGGTGTGGTATAGACTCATCACCAGATGACTGATCATGAGCACTAGCAAAAGGGTTGGTATCTTCCAAATCAGGCCTTGACTCGTGACGAAAATCATCATGATCCAGAGATTCGAAGCGTTCTAAACGCTGCTGGAGTTGTTGCACTTGTCTGCTTAGTTCATCCATCTCGATGTCACGAAGATCTCGTTCTCGCTCTTCATGATAGTCATGGTTAAGGGGGGTCGTCCACCACGGCCTCTACGTCTCCCAGCCATGATCGTCAAGCTCTGATGCCAAAATGACACCGAACTAATGGTGAATGAAAGGGGAAAACACAAGTGAAACTCTCAAAGGAAATCAACTCGCCACTCAATGGAAATCCACCAAAGAGATAAGAGAAGAAAGTGTATAAGCTGTTATTTATATAAATTATTTTCAACTCCAAAATTCAACTGCTCAATACAATGAGGGAGAAAGTATTTATAAGTCAATCAAAGAATGAAAATTAAGAGTCATTCACGAACGTCATTAATGAAAGTTTCTTGAAATACCAAGTTAATGACCCTTTGAATCCCTTGCCCATATTCGATGTCAAATGGATTGTCCAGATTCGGTGTCACCTAAGTTGGGCGGCTATCCCACCCCAAGGTTGGGCATCTCATCCCAATGGTTCGTGATCGCCTCATCCTAAGTTGGGGGGCTATCCCACCCTAAGGATGAGCATCTCATCCAAATGGTTGGACATCAGCCTTACCTTTCAACCCAACGGGGTTCACATCCCATCTCAAGAGTCGGATATGGTCTCCCTACTAAAAAATTAGAACATCATCCCCAAGGGGTGGACATCAACCACCTCAAAAAAAAAAAGAAATGTCTGCGAGCGCGTGCATGATACGCGCCCGTGGCAGCCACGCTCCTGCCAAACGCGCGCAGCAAAAAAAAAAAGTGAAAAACGCGTGCAAAGCACACGCCCGCGGCAAACACGCGTATGCAGGTTCGCGCGCGCGCCAGCAAAAAAAAAGGAAAAAGAAAAAGATAAGGAACTGAATAGAGTAGCACGCGCCTACCCACCACTCTCTCTCTCTCTCCTGCATTAATTGCGCGCCCGCTCATGAATTTCTTCACAGCTCCTCACTCTCACCTTGCATTAAATGCGCGCGCATACCCATGTGGGAGAAAATTCAATGCACATCAGCAACCTACCGCGCGTCCTCAAATGCACGCGCGACCCAATGCGCACGCGTTCTCCAATGCGCGCCTCCTAAAAGGCACCTCAGCCCCCACCGCGCGTCCTTCAAAGCGCGTCGCCTCTCCCACTTCGGAGCCGCGCTACCTGAACTCTCAGTACCCTCCACCAAATCGCCCGCGCTCTCCAATGTGCCCTACCAAATGGCGCGCGCTCCCAAATAGATAAATACAAATTATTATTTCTCCGTGCCACACCAACGATTAACGGAACACCACAACACCGGTCTACCCTCAACACGATCCGGTATCTTTTTCGACTAGGCTCCCACATTGAATCGAGAGTGGGGGGCTTGCGAGACAACTCCCACGAGGAGCAAACTCGATCGGTCCTACAAACCCGTTGCGAGACAACTCCCACGAGGAGCCAACTCCCTCGGTACTACGAACCAGCAGCGAGACAACTCCCTCGGTTCTACGAACCCGCAGGGAGACAACTCCGACGAGGAGACAACTCGCTCGGTACTACGAACCCGCAGCGAGACAACTCTCACGAGGAGACAACTCACTCGGTACTACGAACCTGCGGCGAGACAACTCGCCCGCAATTCACTACATAATCGCTAGCTCAAGTTAACACGATTACACCCCTAGAAACACTTAGAGATATTAGGAGAATCTATATAGCCTGGCCAGCTTGATTACTCAAATTTATCTACTTATTTTCGACGGGTACTTCATTAAAATGTGGCCACGGTCCAAACTTACTTACGACCCACGAGGTCTAACAAGGGGCACGATCCCCATAGAAAAATCTTGAGAGCCTGATCCCCTCCTCAAATACATCACGCACAAGGCTATATGTAAACACATACAAGCAACGCGTCAAAACGCTGACAATGTTAATAAATAACAACTCCCACGAGGAGAATACTCGCTCCGTACTACTACATTATCGCGAGACAGACAACTCCCATGAGGAGATAACTCGATCCGCGCTACTACATCGTTGCGGGACAACACCGACGACTCAAGTAACTTACACCGCGACAACTTGGTCGCGCTACGCGCCGACGCGCCTTCACGCCCCTCCGGCACACGCTCCAACGCGTTTTCGCACACCATTAGGCCATACACCAACGAGCGACTTCTACAAATTTTACTCTCGACACGATCTGACCCCCATTTCAACATGCCCCCCACATCGACTCGAGAGTGGGGGGCTTAATGATATGCATAATTGGGTCAACCCAATGGGCCTAGAATTCCTTTACCTACTGGGCCACGAACCCAATATTGAAGACAACTATCACCGAGGCCCAATCATCTTCAAGTAAGATTTAGGCCCGACAATCTCAACTAAGGTATAAATAAAGGTTTGACCTCATTCCTTAAGGTACGTCATATTATCTGAGTAATACTACCCACTGGACCATTTATACTATCCGCATGTCGGCCTTGAGCGTCGAAGGAGTTTCCGCCGAATCAACCCCGGCTTAGTTCACGTGTTCTATGATCCCAGGTATCTCAAGGTCATCAAGCTCGTGAGCCAGTGATCCACTCTGCTCTTCCAGTTCATCATATTTCAACTCTCTAAGGTGATCTATCTCTAGCATCATCATGCATTTTGCTTAATTTTGTGTCTGAACAATGAGAAGTAATTTCCGAAAGCTTTGAACCATTGACTGGATATGGGCAACTCATAAAACTAATTGGAACACTTTTTTGCACATATGAGTAATAGGGATAAAACCTGTCATCGAATAAAGGGTATTTGGGGAATGAGAAACTCTCAATTATTGTGACATTAGGAATAGCAAGACGGATGGTATCTTTGGTATAGTTGATTTCGTGGACGAGGTATTTATGAGAGTTGAGGTATAGTGAAGTTGTATTGTTTTCGCATGAAAGTACGTATTCGGGAGGACCGCAACGTTTTGGATCGGTATTGAGCCTGAAAGGATAGCTAATATTGCGAATTTCGCCACATGAAGAAGGGGTGCAGTTGATTTGGTTTCCATGGGAGTTTTGGATGAAATATAATTGGGTGGTGATGAAGAAATAAATAAATTTGAGGAGGAGGCTTTGGCTGAGGATATACATGTATGTATGTATGTATGTATGAATATTTGGTGATTAATTTGAAGAGCTATCTATAGCTTATAAGTTATAAGTTTGGGGATATGATTAATTAGATGGGAGAGGTGAGAGAAGACTATAGTAATGTGTGAATGGAGGAGTTTGTTTTTTCGTTAAGAATAATTGAGCAAAATATAGTGAATTCACCACAACTAGGAAATGCAGTCAACTCAAATTGTATGGAGGAAAATTCAAGTCCACCAACTACTTGCAGAGGAAAATTAATATCACATTTTGTAAAAGAATTAATATTGATGGGTGAAGATTGATGTATGTGTGTGTGGAAGGACTGAGTCTTCTTCACAATAATTAAACAAGTAGTCTACCGTGAAATTTACGCTTGTGTGAGTCTACTTCAAAGGGCAACACGACACCACACCAATCACCATCAGAGTAATTTCCGTCAAATTATATCGTAATCAATTTTTATTTTTTGGAGAAAAAACATATAAATCACTATCTCATCTGGTTCTGTACTGTTGTTATTAAATGGAGAAAATAAAACTCTAGTCTGCCAATTTAAATTACATGCACATAAATAAAGATTCATAATGTCTTCCTTTATTTTCTTGCTTTTGTTATTTCCACTTGTTGCAGTAGTAGTAGTGCAAGGATATGTTGAAGATTGTATGCCAATCAGATGCAGTAAACATAGCCCGATAATTCGGTTTCCTTTCAGACATCAAACTCTGCAACCTCAGCACTGCGGCTATCCGGGTTTCGATCTAAACTGCGACCACAAAAAAGATACTGTACTTGTGCTTCCGTTCTCCGTAAATGTTGTTGTGAAGGAAATCAACTATGCATCTCAAACAATTCTTGTTTATGACCCAGAATGCCTTCCACAAAAGCTACCCCATCTAAACTTATCTACCTCATCCTTCAACTTCCTTCTTGATCATGACTACTTAATATCAGACTGTGCCATTTATAAATGTTCTGATGCAGACAAATCTTTGTATCGCTTTCCTTGCCTTATTGATCCCATCAACAAATACTATATTGTTAATACCATACAAGAATTGACTTCTTGTACAAAGATTCATGATATTTTAGATGTTCCATGGAGTATATCCGACAAAAACGGCTTCCGTTTGGAGTGGTCTGAGCCGACATGTGGCCACTGTGAAGCTCAAGGCAAACGATGCAGCTTACATAATTCAACCAGACTTGATAGTATTCAGTGTATCGACAAACAACCAACCATAATTCATCATGGTACGTTTTATCTCATCCCATTTTTCAATTGGAGCTTATTGCATTTACTACCTCTTTGAAAATCGTTTCCCCTGTTATAAAAAAATTAGCAAAAATTCCCCTGTATTTATTTTAAGACAACATACTCGACTCATTTAAATTTTCTCCATTGACCGGTTGTAAAATGACCCAAGTACCCTAGGAGTTTCTGCAAAAAAAAACTAGCAGTTTTTGAAGTTTTCAAAACCTTAATCAAATAATTCAGGGGACTGAATTGTAATTTTCTGAAAATACATAATATTTATAAAATATTATGTATAATATTTATAAAATATTGGGCTAATGGCAAATATGCACATGACAAGGGCACTTAATTAAAAGAGGGACATCCAACTTTTTTGTCTTTCAAATAAATCCAGCTCATTCAAACTTATTTGCAAATAAGGAAAATCCTTTTATATATACCAAAATTACCCCCAGTTCATTAAAACTCAATTCAACTCCCATTTCATGATTTACACCCCAATTTAGCCCAAATTTTATCAATTAACCAATTTTAACCCTAATTTCAATTTTAACCCCAATTTTGACCCGCCACCACGGGAGACCGGCGGTCTCCGGCGTTGATTTTTTTTTTTTCTTAAAAAAAATATTTTAATTAATATTACTGTCTTGGCTGCTAAATTACTACCTCCAGCAGTTATTTAACTGTCGGAGACAGTAATTTAACTGTTAATTGACTTTTTTATTCTTAAAAAAAATATTTTTTAATTAATATTACTGTATTCGTTGCTAAATTACTGTCTCCAGCAGTTATTTAACTGTTAATTGACTTTTTTTTTTTAAAATTTTTTTTCTTAAAAAAAATTATTTTAATTAATATTACTGTTTTGGCTGCTAAAGTATGTCTCCAGCAGTAATTTAACTGTCTTAGATAATAATATTAATAATATTACTGTCTGAAACAGTAATTTAGTAGCCAAGACAGTAATATAAATTAAAATATTTTTTTCTAAGAAAAAAAAAATCAACGCCGGAATCTGGCCTGAAAAAAAATTTCAGAAAAAAATTATTTTATGAAAAAAAAAATTTTGGGTGGTTAATGTGATATATTTGTTTAAATCTGGGGTCAATGTGTAATATTAAGGAAGTTAGAGCATAATGGATGCAATTGATAATAATTATATTATGGAGGGTATTTTTGACTAAAGGCATGGGGATGAGTTTAATTGAAACACTATTTTTTTTGTGGACCAATGTGCATTTAAGTCCCATGTGATGGGCCTTTTTGCCATTCGCCCTAAAATATTATGTATTTTATTATGTCATATTTTTATACATACCAAATATTGCTTTAGAAATATTTATAATTTAATAAATTTAAATCAAAGAAAATGAAATTAAAATATATTAAAATAAAAAATAAATTTATTAAAAAAAAAAAAAGATGTTGGGGGCAATTCTGTCATTTCACACAAAAAATGAAGAAAAGTCGCAGAACCCACGAGTGAGACACACGATTTGCGATGAGGGGGGTTGTCGTCTTTCACTAATGAATACGGAATATTTGCAATTTTTTTTAATGACGTGGAAAACACGCAGTTGCGATTTTCATAAGAGTAAATGCAATAAGCTCTTTTTATTCGATATAGATTATCATTTGTCTAAAGAAATATTTTGCTTGTTGGTTACAGAAGCACTGAAGAAGCGACTGATTGCAGGTAACAATTTCTATGCTTTTAATAATATTTTATTATTCTAGTAGATGGGTTCAAATCTAACTTATGAATTATGTTTCAAAGGTTTTGGTTGCTTTCTTGCCGTGATAATCCTCGTCGCTCTCGTCCATCAATACATCAGATTTAGAACTGGCAGGGAGAATCAAATCAAGGTTGAAAAGTTTTTGCAAGATTATCGAGCCCTTAAGCCGAGTAGATTCTCATATTCAGATATAACACGGATTACTCATCAATTTCGCGATAAATTAGGTGAAGGGGGTTATGGAGTTGTTTACAAAGGAAAGTTGAACAATGAAATAGATGTTGCAGTAAAAGTACTAAACAATTCCAAAGGAAACGGAGAGGAGTTTGTGAATGAAGTAAGCACGATTGGGAGGATACACCACGTCAACATTGTCCGTCTTGTTGGCTTTTGTGCTGATGGATTTCGAAGAGCTCTTGTTTATGAATTTCTACGTAATGATTCCCTCGAAAAAATCATTTTCCAAGCGGGTTCTAAGAAAATATCTCTTGATTGGGAAAAGCTAAAGGATATTGCGCTAGGCATAGCCAGAGGCATAGAATATCTTCACGAGGGATGTGATCAACAAATACTCCATTTCGACATAAAGCCGCAAAACGTATTGTTAGACCACAACTTCAACCCGAAGATCTGCGATTTTGGTCTTGCGAAATTGTGCTCAAAGGAACAAAGTGCAGTGACAATGACCGCGGCTAGAGGAACAATGGGCTATATTGCACCTGAAGTACTGTCCAGGACTTTCGGGAGGGTTTCGTATAAGTCCGATGTTTATAGCTTCGGAATGTTGTTGCTTGAAATGGTGGGAGGGAGGAAAAATGAGGATCGTAATGTAAATAATACTAGTCCGGTATATTTTCCGCAGTGGATTTACAATCATATAAATGCGGAGGATAATCCCATGTGGGAACAAATTGATGAAGAAGGAAATAGTATAGCAAGGAAACTTAGTATAGTAGGGTTGTGGTGTATACAGTGGTGTCCGACAGATCGTCCGTCAATGAAAGTTGTGGTTCAAATGTTGGAAGGAGACAATGGCGATCTCACAATGCCTCCAAATCCATTTCCAGCTACTACGAATTCCGTTGGTGCCGGGCATTATCAAACTGAGATGGCTATCATATTAGAAGAGTAAAGGATATATATATATATTTCTCTTTTATCTTCCATTGTATAATTTGGGTCTATTGATATTTTATCCTTTTTTATGTACCTTTTTTGTTTTGGCAAAAAAATTGTTGTTGTGTGAAATGGGACCTCCTGAAGACATTGTTTGACGTAACAAGGAAAGAGTACTCATAGTTATTTACAAAATTGATTCACATGGATTACATGTACATTCACTAGTCAACATTTGTATAATAATCTTAGCTAATTACTTTTTAAATATGTAACTCATAATTTGGTGGAACTACAGTGCAAGTTTTTCTGATTTTGGATTGGCAAAAGATGAGCCAACTGGAGATAAAGTCATGTTTCGACAGAGTCATGGGAACCTATGCCGTGATGACATTTTGTTTTTTAGATTTGAAATTTTCTTTGCAAGAATCATGGGGATGTTTGCTTATGTTTCTAGTGGGATTTTCTAATTTTCATAATTTCTGATTGAAAAGGTAGATATATTGGTTTTTGTGTAGAAAATGATTGACGAAGTAAAATTTTTAGTTTATATAGGTGTGAAATGAAAATATGTTTGGTTGTGTGTGTTCTGCACGAAAGTACCTGCAAAAGTAGAATATATATGATTGGATATGATTGTGATGATGATGATGATGATGTTAGTTATTATTATTATTATAAGGTTAAAATAAAGAGAGGGAGGGTGGAGTTATTAATGAAGAGAGATAAATGGGAGTGGAGAGAGAATGTGGATTTTAATGAGGAGAGCGAAATTGAGGGAGAGAAAGTGTATATTTTAATGGTTATAGATGAATAGAAGGAGAGAAAAATAAGTTGAATAAATAAAATATATAGGTTAGTAGGTATTAGTAGGTTTGAAAGTTGGAAAAAATATGAATAATGTATTTTTATTGGAAATTTTGATAGGAAAAATGTGTGTTTTCAAGTAAAATTTCTCAAACAAACATGATCTCAGTTTTATGAATAGCATAAAAGTTGAAAATGATTTTGGAAACATAAACAAACATGGCCACTAGCATTTTATTGTCACACAAAATTTATAGCTTCCCGACTTCCACAAAAACAACATTTTATTGTCACACAAAATTTGCTTGGACACTAGCACCGCGCCTTGCGCGGTATTCATCGATATTGATTTATTCCCTGAAATCTATATTATTATTTGAGGTACGGACAACAATAATTATGAATAAAGACTTAAATGGAAAAACCATAAGGGGAGTTAAAGAAATCTTACTGAGAAAAATACTGAAGATCTCAATTGGCACTCTGAGTCGACCTGCATTTTCAAGAATTCAGTAAGAAGAACAAGAATTTAAAATTGAAACAATTAATTTATATTACTTATAACAATTATGTAGTTGATGAGTGAAAATTAACGAATAATCTTACCAATCAAATTTTGCTCAAAACACGTAGCACTGTCGCCATAAAACCAACAATTAAGACATTCGTCGCCACAAAGCACATTGAACCACGCAAGTTCGAACCCGTACGTCAAACAACTATGGACTTGCGAGAGACTAGACAACGTACTACGCTTCATATTCAACGAAGCCATCACCATTAGATCTACTCTGCACGAATATCCATTAAGAACGAACCGTCAACGCACCGAACTTTATGTACGTAGTACGCCCGTTAAATCTTCGGTCCGCACAATTAGGACCATATTCATCAACTTTATAAAGAACATCTGAATTATTATTACTGATGTTATTGACTGTGCCGTTAGGACAGCTCATGAAAGTAATTGCGGATGTTATATCGGGGATTTCTCCGACATACCATGAACCCAAGTATGTGTTGATGCTGTAAGCATCACCCCCACTAAAATTGTAGCCCGATAGAGAGTAGTCGGGGAAAGAGCAAGTGTCGTTTTCAACTACGGAAGCATCGGTAATGCAAATTGTGTAGTTGGCGTAGTTGATCGATTGTTCGAGGTACTTTTGAGAGTTGAGGTATAGTGAAGTTGTA